TAAGTAAGCCATTCTTTTCTTAGTATTGCAGATTAAGTGATGAGTAAAATAACTCTCTGCCCAGAGGCCCTTCAGTGATGACTATAGAAGCAAAGTTAGTGATGAGGTGTGCATTAACTCTAAGCTACCTGCATTGCAAACAAAGTGTTAAAACAAGTCTAAAACCAATTTTTTTTAATCACTCTTATACATGTCACATATGTGTGTGTGTGCATGTATATATGTATATGAAACCAAACCTACTGTTATCAAGTCATTTCCAACTCACAACAACTCTACAGGACACAGTAGAACTGTTCCATAAAGTTTCTAAGGCTATAAATCTTTATGGAAGCAGACTGCCTCATCTTTCTCCCATACAGCAGCTGGTAGGTTTGAACTGATGACCTTTTGGTTAGCAGCCAAATGCTTTCAATCACTATGCCACCAGAGCTACACATATATGTGTATGTATGTGTCCATGTATGTATATACACATACACATATACATACACAGATATATATATATATATATATATAATTCTATCTTAATTCTCTAGTGCTGCTGTGTTACACAAGTGGATGGCTTTAACAAACAGAAATTTATTTTCTCAAGGTTAGGAGACTAAAAGTCCAAATTCAGTGCACCAGGTCTGGGGAAAGCCTTTCTCTCTCTGTCAGCTCTGGGGGAAATTCCTTGTCTCCTTTCAACATCTGTGAGCCCTGCTTTCCCTGGAGATTTCCATGTGTTTTGGCATCAATCTTCCCCTGGATCGAGGAGGTGCTCAGCACAGGCACCCTGGGTACAAAGGACATGCTTCTGCTTCTAGCTCTTCTTCCTTGCTGGTATTGAGGTCTTCCCTTCTCTGCATGTTTCTCTCCCCTTTTATCTCTTGTAAGGCAAAAGGTGATGCATGCAGGTCACACCCCAGGGAAACTCTCCTTACATTGATTGGATCAGGGCTGTAACCTGAGTAAGGATGTTGCATCCCACCTTACTTTCCTCACAATTGATTGGCTGGCCACTCATGGGGGCTGATTACATCATTACATACCTCCCAAATTACATCCTCACATAACTGCCAAACCACTAAGAATCTCAGACAAGCCAAAGTGACACATATTAAAAAATAAACAAAAACAGAAAAACCCACTGGATCCAACTTATAGTGACCCTCCTTGGGTTTATGAGGCAGTCTGTCACTATGGAAGTAGACTGCCCAACCTTCCTTCTGAGAAGTGGCTGGTGGGTTTGAACTGCCAGCCTTCTGGTTAGCAGTCAAATGCCTTAGGCACTATGCCATCAGAAGAGCTCATAACACATATTTTGGGAGGATAAAATTCAATCCATGACATTCTACACTTTGGTCCCCCCCCCCCCCAATATTCATGTCCTTGTCACATATAAAATTCTCTTAGTCTATCATCCCATAAGTCTCAAATCAACATCAAGTCCAAATTCGACCCTGGGGCAAAATTCCTCTTCATCTGTGAATCTAGAATTCAGGTTATCTGCTTCCAAAGTTTAGTAGTGGTACAGGCACAAGGTACACTTTTCCTCTACAAATGGGAGACACTGGAGGGAAAAAAGGGATAACAGGCTCAAAGCAAGTTAAAAAAAAAAAAAAAAAAAGCAGAAAAATTTACATTAGCTCTTAAAGTTTTAAAATGATCCTCTGTTCTTTGAGACCATCTAGGCAATGGCCCTGCCCTCTAGACTCTGGAGCAAAGTTAGTGATGAGGTGTGTATTAACTCTAAGCTACCTACGTTACAAACAAAACGTTAAAGCAAGTCTAAAACCAGTATTTTTTTAAAAAATCACTCTTACAAATGTCACATATATATGTGGGAATGTATATATATGTATGTATGCTTTCTACATTGAGAGGAGGCTCATGAGCTTCAGCTTCACCTTCTAGGTTCACCTGGATGGCAACTCTGCTCCCTTGTTTTTGGGTGGCCCCATTCTACTAGTGAAACTGAGTGGTAACTCCACTCCCTCAGCCACAACAGGTCCTGCTCTATTGTTCTTTAAGGATGGCAGCCTCACCCCCTCAGCTTTGGATAGCAGCTCTGGGCCTATTTTCCTGGCACTCAGGAAAGGAACCAAGCTGGTGAAAATCTGACTTTTTGAAATGCAGGAGGTAGCCCCACCCCTTGAGGCCTAGCAGGCCCTGGTTTCACCTTTGAAGACCCCAGAGGTCATGGACTTAACCTTTCAGATCAAGGCAGCTTTGCTTCTCATGGTCCTTGTCTCTTCAGTTTCTGCTTCCTGGTTCCTTGGCCTCTTGGTTCCTTGGCCCCTTATGTCTCTTGGGCCAGTCCAGCCTCTTCCTTCCTCAGGCAAGAGTTACAAAGTTCTTTAGTGCTACCAATAAGTGCCTGGAGGTATTCCACTCCACCAAGAAGCCTCCTGCCCAAAGGAAATCAGCTCTCTTACTCTGTGGGCTGGCTCTAGTGCTGTCTTGTGCTAGTCTCTTGGTTCTGCTGCTGCCATTTCTCTGCTCCTGATTCTAACCATCTGCACTATCTTTGGTGATACAGCTCTCCTCACTTCCTTCTGAGCCCTCACTAGAACTGTCTCCTTAACCAGAATTGACATCCATAATTCCACCAACAGTCTCTTCTTGGTTAGTATGTGCCATCAAGTCGGACCTGACCCATAGTGACCCCTCCTTGAGTTGCCAAGGCAGTATCACTACGGAAGTAGATTGCCCCATCTTCCTTCCGAGAAGTGGCTGATGGGTTTGAACTGCCAGCCTTCTGGTTAGCAGTCAAGTGCCTTAGGCACTATCCTACCAGGGCTCCTATAGTCTCTTCTACGCTGCTTTTACTATTAAGCACTTTAAAACTCTTCCAGCCTCTGCTCATTACCCAATTCCAACCCCACTTCCACATTTTAGGTATCTGTTAGAACAGCACCTCACCTATACCAAATTCTTAGTTATCTAGGGCTGATATAACAAAAATACTACAAGTGGATGACTTTAACAAACAGAAATTTATTCTCTTATGTTATGTGCCTTTGAGTCGGCCCTGACTCATAGGGACCCCTCCTTGGGTTTCCGAGGCAGTATCGTAGTGCCTATGGCATTTGACTGCTAACCAGAAGGCTGGAGATTCAAACCCACCAGCCACTCCTTGGAAGGAAGATGGGGCAATCTACTTCTGTAGTGATACTGCCTCGGAAATCCAAGGAGGGGTCACTATGAGTCGGGTCTGACTCGACAGCACATAACAACAACATTATTCTCTTATAGTTCACCCAAAACCCACCACCATCAAGTTGATTCTGACTCATAGTGATCCTATATGACAAAGTATAACTGCCCTATAGGGTTTTCAAGGCTGTCAATTTTTACAGACATGGACTGCCACATTTTTTTCCTGTGGAGCAGGAATCAGAATCGACACAACGGCAGTGGGTTTGTTCTGGATACACACACACACACACACAAACACACACACACAAACAGAGCTCTGGTAGCACTGTGGTTAAAGCACTGGGCTGCTAACCAGAAGGTCAGCAGTTCAAACCCATCAGATGTTCTGTGGGCAAAAGAAGAGGCAGTCTGCTTCTATAAAGATTTACAGCCTTGGAAACCCTATGGGAGTCACTATGAGTTGGAATCAACTCAATGGCACTGAGTTTAATTATACACACACACACACACACACACACATATGTAAAGAATTTCTTATTGTTTACCTTAAGACACATTTTACAGATCAAATTCAATAATTGTGTGTGGGTAGGTAGGTGAGTACGTATGTATGTACATAGAAGCTATTCTTTTCTGCTAGAGAAATATAACTTCCTTATTCACAATTACAGTAATGATTTCGTTATAGTCTGCCCCTATAGACATCAAGACTGGATTGATTTCACTAAATAAAGCAGATGAGTTTTTGTGGTATTTCCAAAAACAATGGTTTCAGAACATTATAATAAGCAGTTTAAGGCCCTCAACAAGTAGCTGAATGTTATATCTAGTCCTTATTTATGGAACATCTGTAGCAGTTTCAATTTTAGTGTTAAATGAGCTTTTTCTAAATTTCCACGTTTGAAAATATATGGTATTTTTTTTACTATTAGTACAGGAAAATGAAAATCAAAACAACTTCATTGTGACACAATTTCATTATGCTATATGAACACTGTACTTTGAATATGCATTAGCTGACTTTAAGAGTGGTATATGCCCCAAATGAGATGTGTAAGAAACACATTTGTTTATAGATTTGGGGTCTAACCCACTATCAAACATCTATCAAACAGTTTGTGCTGAAAGGTAATTTCTTCAATTCTCATAATGGTTGTGAGACGACTTTTTTAACTTGGACTAAAAAATAATAATAATACAGATGATACAAACACAAAGCTACCTGGAAGGTGAGTTTTCTTCTTCCTAAAAAGCATAAAAATTAGAGAAATAGAGTGTATGCCCATTTCTGGGAATATGGACGGAATTCCTTATCAGTCCTATTTAAAACTGCCTTCAAGGATTGTATTAAACTTAATTATGAAAGATTACAAACGAGATGATGTGTAATTGGTACCAGCTGCAGTTCATATTGGAAAGCATAAATACAAATGGAATTACTTATTTTTTTATTTATTTGCTATTCAACTGACAGTTCTAAACTGTCAGGACTAAAATTGACTTTACTTTTTTTTTTTCCTATTGAGTTTTAAAATATTCCTTTAGCTAATAACAGTAGGAGAGAGAAATAATCCCATTTAAAGACTACTTCCCTTACCCAAAGAACCCACGCAATGAAGAAACACAAAGCTATTTTCTTTTCTCTACCTAATTAGTAGCTTATTGTTTTTATATCAGAATTAGTGACTTGGGATCAAATTCTCCTCAAGCAACTGTCGGCTTTTTTTTAAAAACAAAAAAACAAAAACAAGAAAACTATATATCCAGCTATCCATTAATTTATTGTTGAGATCCTTCCTCACGTATTTAAAAAAAAAAAAGACAAATAAAGAGTAAGGTGGAAAAGGTGACTTAACCTGTGGAGGACGGCTGGGAGGTGTGCTTATCAGGGGAGCAGGACCCATAGCTGAGGCAGCATTCAAACTCCTTTCTCTTTCGTCTTGGTAAATTCTGTCTCTTTCAGCTTCAGGTAACTGTAAGAAGTTCTGCATAGCCCGAAGGTTTACCAGCAAAGACTGGGATGCAGTCTTAGGGTCCTCTTCCTTTCGGAGGATTTCTGAAAGCAAACCCTGCAGGGAAAGAAAGGCACAGGGTAAGACGACTCCTGGGCTTTGCCAAGCCATCAGTGATTCTTTCCTTCTCTTTCCCAGTTTAGAAAATGAACAGTCAGAGGCATTAATTCTGCATAGGAATATATTAGTTACAATTGAAATAAGTAGAGAAGAGAGCCTCAATTGTATTCTTAATTTTATTAAGCATCTGCTTTACATATAACATAAACTGAAACTGCCTAATTGGTCTCCTTCCTTTGAGTAGCTTAACTTGCCATGAAATCTTTCACAGAGAGACTATCAAAGGAAGTTAAGAATAAATGAAATCCTCGTAATACAACAGCACTGAACTGTATATTTCTCAAGCTTGCTAGACAAAGGCAGTGGAATGCCAACAGCCCAATATGTAAAGATACAAAGCCATTTCTAGAGGTATAGCACACTTTTATAGAAAATAAATTATAACACATTCAAAAAAAGATACTACTAAAGTATCACCAGTGATTTATGCTATACTTTCCCAAGCAATACGTTAAATTATTTCTTAATATTAAATTACAGTAAAACCTGCAAAAACCAGAACCTATATGAAGCAGAAGCCTGTCAGAGAAGGAAAATGTAAATATTAGGGTAGTGAAGACGGGGCAATCTACTTCCCTAGTGATACTACCTCGGAAACCCAAGGAGAGGTCGCTATGAGTCGGGACCCACTCGACGGCACATAACAACAACAACAAAAGGCATCTGACTGCTATTCAGAAGGCCGGCGATTCAAACCCACCAGCCACTCCTCAGAAGAAAGATGGGGCAATCTATTTCCCTAGTGATACTGCCTCGGAAACCCAAGGAAGGGTTGCTATGAATCTGATCAGACTCCATGGCAGTGAGGGGGAAAAAGAGAGTGATAAAAAAGTGGTTAAGACTGCACCTTGTCAAAGATGGAAAACTTGTAGGATCTGGAAAAACAAGGCAGTCTCACCGAGCTCCGCTCTCATAGGTTTCACAGTATTAAAGTAAATGACACCAAGTGTCTCTTTCAATTTACCACTGAAAGAAAACTACAGACTCCCCCAGATGATTCTAAACAGTATTTTGCGCTATAACCTGAGGTGACAGGGTGAAAATGTGAAGTTCAGAAATCATAGGTAAAATTTAAAATACATAACGACTTTTCCATACTGCAAAAGTCTATCACAGCAAGCCAAGGAAAAGAAGATTTGTCCAATTTTCCTATAATTATCAAGTGTCATGGTTGTGGAAAAAAAATGTAGTGTCAATTTAGGGACTAAGAATCATTATTAATGATTGAAATGATTGAAGAAATTTACAAACCACTAGAAAACTTTTTGGTACCTCTCTCCCCAGGTAATAAAATATTAATTTCAACTATTTTTTTAACTTTTGGAAGATTGCTTTTAAAAATGGTTGCTTTCCCCCACTCTGTGCAAGGGATTTTATGAAACAGGGAAAGATTTTCTGTCCATTTTATAAGGGCTGAGTACCCTTGACTCTTCAGTTTTGTACATGAAATAATGCCTGGGATACCAAGACACTTGCTTTCTATACTTTGTCAGAGTATCAGCTTCTCACAATTTAGATCAGAACAAAATTTCATCAAGGTTTCTATGTAAATTGCAAATGTTACTCTCCCATAACCAGTGGCAATGGTTAAAGGGTACATTTTTTGGGAACTGTAAATGTCACTACTCGGAAGGAAGGTTGGGCAATCTACTTCCGTAGTGATACTGCCTCGGAAACCCAAGGAAGGGTCGCTAAGTCGGATCCGACTCGCTGGCACATAACAACAACAACAAATGTCAAAATAATCTAGCCCCAAAATTATAACACCCAGGGCTTTTCATGGTTTTCTAGAAGTGTAAACTTAGCTTTGTTTCCAGTTCTTCAGTGATAATGTACCATCCTGACCAAATGTAACAGTTGAGTGCAGACAGTATAAAATCAGTCCATTTAAAAAATGATCTGCTGTTGTAGTTGTGTGTCATCAAGTCGCCCTAACTCACAGCAACCCCATGTGACAAAGCAGAACTGCACCATAGGGTTGTCTTGGCTATAATCTTTTATGGAAGCAGATTGCCAGGTCTTTCTCCCATGAAACTGCTGGGTGGGTCTGAACTGCCGACTTTCTGGTTAGCAGCTGAATGCTTAACTCTTGTACCAACAGAGCTTCTTAAAATAATTTACAGGCTGCTGTTTTAAAAAGAAACTCCAACATGATCACTGAGTTTAAGAGTAAATTTTTAGAGTTTCTCAGTCTACTAAAACCAGAAAACTGGCAATAACATGAACTTTCAGTTTCATCAGGAAGAAATGTGACTAAAGAATGAAAGGTACATGGACTTTCATTTGTGATACTGACAAGCAATGTTTCAATTGTGTCTACAAAAGAGTAAAACATCCAGCCAATTTAACTAAAATCCCATCAAACAAGCAATCATCCTGTGATTTAACTTGCACAAAGCCAACTAACTAGATTGACTATATTTTTGATGTGTCATATTAAAACCAAGAAGTATAGGTCTCAAAAGAAAGAAAAGAAAAAACTGAAGGTAAGTGTACCCAAGAATATATTGGAAACATATTTAAAACTGTGCTTGGCAAAGCAAAATATACCAACCACATAGAAATACAGGGATGCAAACATACACTTCTCACAGGATGTTATATATTGTTATTATTGTGTGTCCTAGAGTCAATGCTGACTCATAGCATACTGTAGGACAGAGCAGAACTGATCCATTGAGTTTCCTAGGCTATAATCCTTATGGAAACAGATTTTCATGTCTTTTATCCTGTGGAGTACTTAACTATCGTGCCACCAGGGCTCCTTTGATATCAATATCGTATATGATAAATTCCATGAGTATAATAATCTAACATTCATTTTTGTCATCCCAGCACAAGGCCTACCATTGTAAGTGTTTGAAAAAAATATTTACTAAATGGATTAATTCTGTATGTACATACCACAAGAAGAAAAGAAAAAAATCCAAATTACTGATAGAAACCTAAAAACAAGATATGCTATCCATGGGTAAATTCTAATAGTAATCATTAGCACTCAGGATGGACCTGCAATTAAAAGTTTTGGGACCCTTTGTGAGATATTTATCTATTCTAATAGTTCAGCAATTTTTTTTTTTAGTTCAGTTGACTGTGTGTATATGTATGTGTGTGTGTGTGTGTGTGTATAGTCCCTTGGCATAATCTGTTGTTTTAAATTTATACATATATACACACACACACACACATACATACATACACATACATACATATATACATACATGCATATATATTTTTAGGGGTGTTAATGTACTTGGGAAACTTGAAATTAGACATTAGCAAATCTTAAATAACAAAGTAATATATATTTCTATTAGAAATATTTCCTGAGAGCAGAAAACTATAGTGAGAAAAGCAAATGCATGAAATTAATACATAATATATACTCTCTGACATCTTGCTAACATAGGACTAGTCACCACTATATGGCTTAAAATAGAAAAGAGCATGTCATCATGCAGAGAATTTAGAAATCCCTCTACCCTTATTTTGACATTGGCATGACTTCCCATTTGAGCGTACAAATGTTTTAGGGGCAAAGGATTTCATTTCCACTTAAATTAATTATTCCAATGGATCATCTGCAGTTTTTGCAGATGCTTTGAATATGTTGAAAGTTCTAAAGCAATGTTTCAAGCCCTTAAACACTCAAGAACTGTAACGCAGCCAGTGTAGACAGTCTCAGGTGTTTGAGAAACCTTTTGGGGTGTTTTTTTTTTTTTTTTTTTGGGCCCAGAGCTTTCAGTGAGGGGAGTGCCCCCTGGTGGAAATGCTTGAAAATATTGTTAGAAAATGTTTGATTAGTGTGTTAATTACCACAATTTTTTTTTTTTTTTGTCATTTAGAATAATTCTAGATGCAAAATGATAACTATCAGAACCCAAATATGGGAATGCTTATTTCAGTCCTATTTGGGGCTTGAATAGAAGTATTTATGAATTCAAGACGTATGCTGCCTCTGTTTCCTATCCCCCATAGTTGAAAATGCAGTACAGACTTGTTATTTCCAGTTCATTATTTGTAATCACCTATGGGTGGATATTAAGAGAGACTTTTTCCCCAAAATTATTTTTTTTTATGCTAAAAAATAGTATTTCAAGGTTCTCATATAACTTACTTGCCATTTCATAGAACATGCTGAAATACCAAGATTAAGCATATAATCAATATTGCACACCTATGGCTGAACTAATTAAACAGAATTCATTAGTCATTCCTGTTTTTGAAAAGAACTTGATAACTGGTACGTTATGTAGGAAGTTACCAGCACATGGTGAATAGGAATTTTATTGGAAATGAGAAGCTGCCTTTCACTGGGACTTAGTATCATACAAATAATTAGATGTGTGTTCTATATATGAAAACATAAAACTACTCTGCATTGTAGTTACACAGTGGTTAAGTGAGAATTCTATTTTTTTTTTTCAATTAAAGAATTTACTGATGAATTCGTAAACCTTTTTTACATTCCAAAAAGAGTTTACAAGTTATTACAAGTAAAATTCATTAGTAATTGTAAAAGAAAGAAAACCTTCAATAAATATTATCAGTACTTCCAAAAGCTAATTATGAATTCTTTAAAACAGCAGATAAGCGAAAGAGACTGCCAATTTGAACAAAAAGCCTGTCTGGCCTCCCGTTTGTCTCCTCTTTGAACATAATCACTGATTCAAACAGATATTATCAGCCTCATGGAACTTCAGAGTTCTCAAAAGGAAAATATGATTTCATGAAACCTCCCCCAAAAAAGAAAATACATAAAATTTTCTTCAAGGCTACCTGTGACTCAGTTGTTTGGTGAATTTTTAATCACATGTCCAGGTGAAAGACTATTTTCAAATTCCACCTACTACCCTTGGACTCATGCCAAGTAAGTTATACGCAGATGCATTTATCTTTGTCGTTTGGTAGGCTAAACGAGCACTGTCACAATAGGGTAATAGCACCTTTTTTACCTTTTATTCAATAATGATATGGATAGTGGACTTTTCTTAAATTACACTGTGAAGAATTATAGGAACACAGTAGCAATTTCTGTTATACTTAAGCAGGCAAATTTCTCTCCACCACATAATTTACAGAACTCAAATTCAATAAAACATTACATGATGGTCCATTACTGTTATCAGTTTTGAATAATCCATCTTCATTCTTCATTTTACTGGAAAATAAAGTGTGCCAAAGACAAGAGGAGGGGGGAAAAAGAAGAAAAAAGCCACAGAATAGGATCAGAGTTAAATTCTGAGTGTTGAAAAAAGAAAAAAAAAAAAGGCACTAAAAATGTATTTTCTTCTATCATGACCTTTAAATAGTAATATTATAGAGAGGTGAACTGAAAACTATAAATCTCAGAGGCTTCGGCAATTATTTTTAGCCATAGGCTTCCATTAAAAAGACATCAAATAAGAATAACTGAATGAATGGCACGTACTAAAAGCGGGTCTCTTCAACAGCAATTAAAGAACATATGCCCATAAATTCAGAGGGGAAAATTTCCTTAAAACAAATAATTAGATAAACTTCACCACAAATTTTCAGAAAAGGGAGACTTAAAAAAATAAATAAATAAAATAATAGTCCTATGTGGAAGTCTTAAGAGAGGGTTATGTTTTAATTCAGGAGAACCTATTAGGATTATGAGGAAAGTCTCCAATTTAGAATTAAAACATGAAACCCAGGATTTTCAAAGGTATACAGAGCTGTCAATGACTAAAACATTCTTGACTCATATCAGAGTTATCTATTATATTAATGTTTTAACATACTGTTTATAGGATACAATGACTTTATCTAATCATATCATATAACTTTGATTTGTATATACATATCTTATATTACTTTTTTAGCTTGGGGTTGGAATTGCACATTGCAATAAGTATACACAAATGTGTGATGTGCGATTTAACTCTGCAGAGCTCCCTGTCTATACATATGCATTAGCATGTGTATTTTCGTACTCCACGCTCACACCATACACTCTCACTCTGCACCTGCTTTTATTGAAATGCATACACTTTGAAATAAACACACTACATGCATTCATATGAATGTATAATCATTAAAATAAATGCAGCTGTGTGTATGTGTGCGTGTGTGTGCTGGTTTTTAAGTATGACCACCCAAAATACATGCATGCTTGCGTGTGCAAAAGCTAGTTCTCAAAAACTGAACACTTATATAGACAGAAAATTATTCTTTATTTAAATCAAACAGCTTCAATTATGACCCAACATCCACTTTTACTGGGGAGTATCACATACCAAAATAAAGGTTTAAAATCATACCCCTTTATCATATAGGGGCCCAAATACTGTTTTAGAAATGACTTTTTCTAAATGGGCTATTCTTAGAGGGCTCTGTATCAAGCTGTACCAAGTTCTCATTCTACTCTCGGCCTCGGAAAAAGAAAGCCACTCTTTTTGACGTTAACCACAGAGATGACTATCTTTTCAAATTGATTAATAGAGAATCTTGCCTTTCTTCCAGTAACAAATCCTATAGATATTCCTGGAATTTGTCAATGTGAGAAACAAAGGCAGAACAAACGGCCAACTTTTCATAGTCATGGATATAAAATCACAACCCAAGAGAAGAAAAACTATACGGATAGGTGGTGACTTCACCCTCATCTCCTCAGCCCAACTCATCTGCCATTTTTTATCATATAAACTTTCCTTAATGATTCGAGAAGTAAGTATTTGCTCAATTTTTAAAGTGATAATCAGTAAATCTACATGTTGTTTGGGACTATTTCAATGTCATCTTTGTCTGTGGGCTTTCAATTCTATTTAACAAATACTATCTAAACTTTTGATTAAATACTTGTCTACTTTTTTTGACCAGTACAAAGAAGTACTATTAGTTACTGCTAGCTTAAAAAAAAAAAAAAAAAAAAAATTAAAAAGGCTACCAGAAATGGGAAATATCTAGAGGGCTTTTATTATTATTATTATTCATTCATTCATTCTTTTATTTTTTAAATAATTATTCCCTAACTAAACAAAAGGAGCTCTGGTGGTATAGTAGTTAAGGCATTTGGCTAACCAAAAGGTCAGTGGTACAATCTCATAAGCTGCTCTGCAGAAGAAAGATGAGGTAATCTGCTTCTGTAAAGATTTATAGCCTTGGAAACCCAATAGGGGGCGCTAAGAGTCGGAATCAACTTGATGGTGGTGAGTTACGAGTTTTAAATAAACATAGGGGTTTTATGTACCAGCTAATAATGAATACTTTAAGTTGTAAAAATACAGAAGTAGGTAAAACCATAGAACTTAAACCTGACACATAATCTGCAATTATCCTTTTAAAAAGAGATGAATAATGTACCAAAAAAAAAAAAAAAAAAACAGATGAAGAAACTGAAAAACAACAACACTGAGTTAAGGGCTTTGTCAGGTCTCCTAACTCCCAATCTCGTTAAGGCAAGCCAAAAATAAATCACAGCTGGGATTTTCCTAGGTACAGAAACTCTGCCAACAAGGAATTAATAGTAGATTATTTTTGTACCAGGATTTTATACTCATAATCATGTAACAATATAACTTAAATAGGAAAGAAATGTATGAGTGAGTCAGGCAAAACAAAAAACAAACAAAAAAAAACACTTCACAAAACAACCAACAGTGATAAACCAGGAAATTTGAAAGGATCTAATGCCCTCATTCTAATCAAAGTTATGCGTTCTTTTAGTTTTTTAGCATGCCTGGGCTAAAAAATAAACCGCATATATATCATCCTTGTTTCCAAACAAATTAAAAACATTTTTTTTTCTTACAGTGTATATAACACAATCAAAATACGTTTAGGGTTCCCAAATATCTTTATCTTACTTCTCATATATCATATTTTCTCCATGCCTTTCTAAAACATCTTCTATGCGGATAGTATCTTCACTGGAATTTGCCCAGGAGGACAAAGGTATCAACACTTGGGGTATATTCAGATCTCATTGAGAGGTCTAGAATAGGAGCCTGCAAAGTAAGGCCTGTGGGCCAAACCAAACCCATCACCTATTTTGCAAATAGTTGTATTGAAAGATCACAATTTTGTGAAAGAGATCTACTGGCCTTGAAAGCCTGAAATATTCATTATTGGGCCCATTACAGAAAAAAATTTGCTGATCCTTGGTCTAGAGAATGAGGTTTAGAAGAATATTAATAAAATGTAAAGAGGGGAGAGGACCAGGTTAAAAAGCATTTTATGTTAATAAGCCATATTACTGTTTCCTCAAAATGGCCACATAGGATTAAACAGCAGAAATTGCTACTGAACCTCAAGATTGTTTTTTTTATTTTTTAATTTAAATTGTAGGATAACTTCCAGGGAACATGTATATGTATGGTCATATTTGATATGGGTGGTGTTACGGATTCTATTGTGTGCCCCCAGCCCCAAATGTGGTAAAGTCTTAACCCCTGTATCTAGAAATTTGATGGCTGGTGTGGAAACAGGTTTTCTTTTGTTAATGAGGTCATAAGGTGCTCCAGTGGTATGGTGAATAAGAGACTTGACTGCTACTAGAAGGTGAGTGGTTCAAAACCACCAGCTGCTCTATGGAAGGAAGACTGGGCAATCTACTTCCATAAAGATTAACAGCCTCAGAAACCCAGTGGGGTCCACTATGAGTTGGAAAGGACTTAATGGCAATGAGTTTGGTTTGGAATGGGGTCATACCATCATAAACCTAATCACATCAGAGTGGTATGTTATGACAAAAAGCAGAACAGGCAGTGAGGGACAGGAACACATATACACACACAGAAGGAACAGTGCACATTGTAAAGACCAAGCATATGATTCTGCATGCCCAGAAACGGCAAGGATCACCAGGCGGCATCAGAAATGAGGAGGGAGGCCCATCGAGGAAATCAACAGTCAAGACCTCGATTTGGAGTTTAGTCTCCAAAACTGTAAGAAAGTTTCTGTTCTTCAAAATTGCCCACTTATGGTACATTTGGTACAGCCGCCCTAGGAGAAACTAAGGCAAGTGGTACCATGGGAAGGACCACAAAACTAAACTCACAGCCATCGAGTCAGATTCAACACATAGTGACCCCTCCTTGGGTTTCCGAGGTGGTATTACTATGGAAGTAGATTGCCCAACCTTTCTTCTGAGAAATCCCAATGACCTTGAGCAAGTTGTGAAACTTTTCTCAACCTACCAACAAGTCTATAAAAGCGTGGATAATGCCAGTATGAAATATTTTTGGTACTGATTTTTTTTCTTTCAAGTTCCCTAAATCTGGATCAATCTGTACACAGCTTTCCTTGGAAAACTAAGATGTTATGGGGGAAAAGTGATAAAATATAAGCACCACCAGAAACAATCAATATGATCACATGGGAAAAAAAAAAGGGTAAAATACTAGCATATAGTAAAAGCATAAACATGAGGATCAACAAGACTAAGAAAAGGGATGGAGAGAAGACTCGTGTACAAGCAGAAAAAAACTAACCTGAGTTCTGTTAAAAGCCACACGTGCAAATACTGCCTGGGAGATTCCTGCTCGTTTCAGTTCATCACGTACCCACTGGTAGATTTCGGAAGACACCTCTGTGTTGGTAGAAACCTGTTGCTCCAAAGGCTTATTCATAGATCTACTGACAGGGGGAGGGTGGTTCAAGTACTGTTGGTTTAAGGACTGCTGGGCTAAAAGTCTATTCACTGCATACTGCTGGTTCAGCAGCTGAGCCATCACCAGCTGCTGGTTGACCAACTGAGGACTGATGGGCGTTGACACAAGCCCAGGGTGCAGGTTCGGAAGAGGGGTCCGGACAGAGGGCTGGCTGCCATGGGAGAGCTGTGCGGGGGATGGAGGCTGCTCGGCTGTGTTCCCTGGGACTGGCTGCTGGCCAAAGTTGACATGGTTTGCACCTTGCTGGGATAGTTCAGAAAGACTATCCATTTCAACTGAAGTGAACCAAAAGTAAAAAGCATGTTAAGCCAACAATGATGAACAATGATAAGCATTTCTAACCATTTTCCAGACAAAAAGAGGAGGCATAGGGTGTAATCAAGATCTCACTAAACCCAGAGAATTTCAAGATGGAACTCAAGCAGCCTGTGTTTTTCCTTTCCTTTTCTGCACAATCTCACCCACTTTGAAAAAGGGACAAATACTCCTGATGTAATTTTTTAATGTGGCTCAGATTTAAGGCATAAAATCAATTCTTCTCAAGTTCTATGGTGACTAGTTTTGGGTGCATACTGAAGTGGAAGTTATTCACTCTCACTGATTACCCCAAGAAGGCTTATAAGCAATGATATTTATTGTAAAGAAATGGCTTCCAGAAGAATATCATTTGCTCAATGGCAACTAGAACCAGTGAGCTGAGCTAAAAAAACATACATATTGAACTAAAGGAAAAAGAAATTTACAAATATTCTCATGATAAATATTAACAGTTACTACTCTAGGCAAAAGATTTGGAAGAAAAGACATAAAATGTTATCTATGTTCAATTTTTATCTCATAGTGAATATAAAAAGATTCAATATAATAAAAAAAAAGATTAAATATGATTATAATAAGAAGTAATAATCATGGAGTATACATTGGACACTGTGTTGAGCATTTTATGTGGCTTATTTCATTTAATTCTAACCACTATAGGAGAGAGGTATATCTGTAACTATTTCTTAGAATGAAGCTAATGATTGTGTGGCAAGTCAGCATAGATGGTACTGCTAAGACCCAAACGTTTCTTCAAGGAGCTATGGCTATCTCCAGATGCTACGAACAACCCGAGAGAACGGGGTGGGGAGGTGTTCTGGTACAATGGTGATGCCATCATGATTTTACAATTTATTATGAGTGCTTCTTCTTTGGCTGGATCCCTCATGTGGACTGGCTGAGCGTCAGCTCCAAGTGTGTCAAAATCTTTGCTGCTGCAGTGACGAGACTGGTTTGATGCTCTTGACTGGAAAGCCTAAGCATGAAGCTTAGACAGGCAACTCTTTCCAAACAGCACACCACACTTCCCATGTACTGACCCTGGCTCCTTTTTAATCATCATTTCTCTTTTCATTAAATATTCAGATTTTATATTTAGAAGAATTTATCATATTGCTATAGTCACTGATATATGCAAAATATAACTAAGAATTGGGAGAAGAAGCCTTCAATTTCTACCAGTGATATCACCCCAAGTGGGCCAGTGATATCAGCCCAAGTGGGCCATTCACAGAGAACAGTAATTCAAGCAATTATTCCAAAAATGATGCATTGTCTTCATTACAGCCTTCAGCTATAAAAGGCAAGGAATCTGTTTTGGTAGATGGATGGGTTTTGTTCAAATATTAAAAGCTAAAACATGCTCAAGTTTCGGGTTCTCTCGTCTCTTAAAACCTTTAGGAAAAGTTATTATTGTTGTTATTATTAAATGAATGTAATGGAGATAAACAGAAACAGATTTCCAACAGGGCATAATGCTATGCATATTAAACATCCCATTTCACTATTATTTTAAAAGACATTATTTGGAGGGTACAAATTTGGGGAAGGAAACATTAATAGAAGTTAAAACATTAACCTTAATCACACTGTCTCCTTCTGCAAATACTAACAAACTCACTGGGGAGAAAATGTCATAATCTAAATGCTTCGGTAAAACATACAACTTTTATCTGTCATTTTACACTGCAGATGATTTTAATGTATTTCCTGTGTAACAAATATTGACCTAAAATTACAGGTTAAGATAGGATATATTAAGGCACAATACTGGGACTAAATGTTTAAAAATCATGCAGTGACTTTTTTGGTATGGCTGGTAGAGTGGTGAGATCATCAACGTCTTTTATGCATAGGGGAGAGGGAATCTGAGCCACATGATTTCACTTGTGGAAACTTGTCTTTTTCCTTAAAAATTGGGTATAAAAACAGCCACCTTCTCTCTCAAAAGCAAAAACAAAAACCTAAATGCTTGATTTACCTCTGCAAGAAATCACAGCTAATATTAGTTATTCAGGGCCTGGTTAGGTCTTTACTGAGATGTTAAAAAATGACAGCTCCCCTCCTCACGCCTCGATTTCCTGCATGTCTGACAACCAAGTCAGTTTGCCTGATTTAAACACAAACATTTATTGAATTTAATTATCTCATTATACTCATACCCACCCCCCACCCCCAAAGAAACATTCCAAATTGATCTCTAATTGGGCAATCAAAAGACCTGGCTTTAGATGTGACTTTGATAAACCTCCAAATGACATAGAATGTATGTAGCCACCACTGCAAGGGTTTTTTGCTTACCCATCATATCTTTTGTCTTCTTGAAATGTTTGTACCACCTTCCAAATTCTTGACATTTTGCTGCTGAGACATTTGCATAGTAAGTGCTGTTCACAATGGAAGAAATCATACTCTGCATGAAGAGCAGGGGGGAGAACATTTGTAATACATAGCAGAACGAGATGCAACACAGAACTTATTATAATTGTGGAAACTGTATTTTTTTCTTTTAATCAACTGAGTACTAATACAGTTTTGTTTCACACTTTAGCCCAAAGTCTCAACTTTTTGAACTTCATTAAGTAGATTGTAAATGCTTATTTAAATAGAGAGCCCACTGAGACCAGTATAAAACTATCAAACCCAGACTTGGCTCCAGGATTTATGGAATCTCTATCAGTGTCATCTAATTCTAGGCTGACAAACCTTCACCAATTCCAATAAATCTAAACATGTAAAGATGAATTTATGATTGCAATCTATAAATAGATGCAACTTCGAGGTTCAGCAAATGCATTCTACATCCTTGTGCTTAAAGTGAGGTCCAGAGACCTGCAATATCAGCAACATTTAGATTCTTGTCAGAAACAGAATCGTGGGTCCTACCCTAGACCTGTTCATTCAGGACCTGCATTTTACCAAGTTCCTCAGGGTATTCACATGCACATTAAAATTTGAGAAACACAGCTTGAACTTGCCATTCCTTTCATTTGGATATGCCTTGGAGGTGCACTAACACTGTTAAAAAGTTGACTGACCACTTTCAAGGAGAAACAAACTACCCACAATGATCCTGCATCAGAGGAAAGACAGTTCTGCAATTTTACTGCTACCTTCACTTACAGTAACAACTTGAATTTTGAATTTCAGGCTGATCCTAACAACTTAAATATATACATTTCATGCGCACTGAATTTCTCCAGGATACCACAAAGAAAATTCTGTCACTTGTCTTCATCCTGCTTTAAATAAAATCCCTAGAAATAAAAATTGTCTACAGTTTAAACATATATATTTAATTCCTTGACAATGATTTTGGTGTATTACTAGGAAATTTTCTTTTTAAACACACCTTCAATAAAGTAAAGTGTTTTCTTCCCAGCAAATTTTGGTTATGGTAATTTCAGCGACTTAAGTCATGGTTCTTTTTAACTATAACACCCACACTCTCTAGTATCAGCTAAATTATATTCCTATTGAGTCTTAGAAATAATTAGACTTCGGAACACTAATCCATCCCACACCTCATGTGAAGAAACACAAGCACTCATATTTCAGACTTCAGTTGGTCTATGGTGAAGAAATTTACAGAAGGTGGTATTGTTCTGGGAGGCAGTGAATAACCAGAAAAGCCAGTCTGGCTACAAAAGTATTTCTATATCATTATTTTAAAAAGCTACTCCTAATTTAAAGCAGTTTTGATTATTATGGATTCTTCCTGAAATTCATTATCAATGTTAATTTTGTACCATGCACACATTTCAGTAATATGCATTATTTTAGGGATCTTCAAAAAAATTTCATGAATGACATGCTAGAATATAGTATTTACATAAAACACAGCTATATCTCCAAAGAGACACTGTGATTTTTTTTGACACTTTCTACTTTAGAGTCATTTTCACATTTTATTTCTCTAAGAAGACATTCTTAATGTGCTCCTGATGCTCCACCATTAATCCAATAACTGGCAATTTCACTAAGAGCCTCCCACAGCCCATAGTGCAAAAAGATACTTAGCAAGGTTGCCAAAACCAGAGCCAGAAGATTACCTGATCCAGTTAACAATCCGTCAGCTTCAATCACACTTACTCTATTTTAATAATGGATCAATAAAGTTGGACACTAATAAAACTATTGAGATTGCTGATGGATAGTGGTGATTCTGCAAATGGATGGCAGTTGATGTTCTTCCACTTTGGTTCAATATTTAAAAAATTATTACTCTTATACCTAGACATTCCAGCAGTTCCTTACTGCTAATATAATAGTTCATATGCATTTTAGATGCAGAAAGACAAAGAATATCTAAATTTTACTGAAATTTTTGACAACCAACCAATCTACTTCAGTGTTGTCAATAGTCAAACATATGAAACTTGCTTTTTGTTGCACAGCTACTATGGGATACAAAATGAATGAGATATAGCCTCTGCTCATAAAATACATGAACAACTTCAATTTAACATACACCAAGAATTAAAAAGATATGGGGGAAAAGGAAGATGGAACCATAGTGCATAAAAAAAATTAGGGTGAAATATTTTTTAAAACTAGAGCCAAGGAGGGGTCACTATGAGTTGGGTCCGACACGACTGCACATAACAACAACAACAACAGAGCCCAGATGTCATAGTGCTATACAGAGTTCATTATTATCCATATATGGAAAATAATATCCATACATGCATGATCAGCAAAGCTTCCCAATACCCTTGTTTAACCCTACACTGACTGATAGGCTTCCATCCTTAATTGACTCACTGATGCTTTCAACTCTGTGTACTTAAGGAACCCTGATTAATGTCAGTATCAGCCTAAGAAAGACATACATGGAAAGGCAATCCACAGGTATGATGCATGCCCATGGCTTCTTGTATTCCCTATCTTTCTGTGCTTTGAGGAGGTTTGTGAAATAGTCCATAACTGAGGTAATTCAGGGTCACTTCTATTTTTACTGGAAAAACCTGCAATAATCAGTACAACTACATTCTCATTTAGCCACTGTAGGAGGGGTTTTTGTTATTGTTGTTTTCACCCCCTGTGGTGAAATCCCTACTCAAGTGACATCTGAATTAGATTGATGAGTTTCAAGGGCAGGAAAGAAAGATTTGAGAATCATGTAGGGGACATAGCATCTGAAAGATCTCTTCAGTATTATAATCTAAAATTTGTAAAACCAGAAACACTTATAGTTTTGATAATACAAATAAGAGAAATCCAAGTTTGTCAATATTTTCCCAGGTGGAGGGGATTTGCAGAGAGCAGACTATGTCCCAGATTCTAAAGGTGAGAGGCTTGGTTGGAATTCTTAATGTCAACCAACAAAACAGATTGGTTTTAAAAGATTACACTAGGTTATGAGTTCATACAGGTTTCAGGATCCATCCTATCTTCTACCCCAATGCCTGGCATATGAACTAAATGTTCATTTTATGAAACAGAATCAAACAAATCTGTGTTCAAATTTAAGAGGTATCACACATTGGTGGTGTGACCTTGGGGAAATCAACTGATCATTATATCTCAATTCCCCCACATAAAATGTTAATGACAGTAACACTCACCTCACGGGGTTGTTCTGAGAATCTATTTGTTTTATCATTTTCATTCACTTAGCATATGTTTATTGATTTCCTACTATGTGTCAAGCACTATGCTAGTCACTAGATAAACAATGACTTGAAGAGACATACTATCTATTCTCATGGAGCTTATATTCCACTAAACCAAAAAAAAAAAAAAAAACAGAAAACAAACTCACTGCTGTGGAGTCGGATCCGACTCATAGTGACCCCTCCTTGGGTTTCTGAGGCGGTATCACTACAGAAGTGGATTGCTTAACCTTCTGAGGAGTGGCTGGTAGGTTTGAACCACCAGCCTTCCACTAGGAAAGACAGATAATAAATAAAATAATGTGTGTGATAAAATTAGCATAGAGCCTGGAACACACCAAGTATGGGCTCAAGAGATGTGAATTACTTTGACTACCCTCTGCTATAGGAGCTCTGGTAGCATAGTGCCTAAGGCACTTGACTGCTAAACAGAAGGCTGGCAGTTCAAACCCACCAGCTACTCATCAGAAAGATGATCCGTAGTGATACTGCCTCGGCAACCCAAGGAGGGGTTACTATGAGTCGGGTCCAACTCAACAGCACACAACAACAACAACACCCTCTGCTACTTCCTCCTCATTCAGCTTTTATTATATGGTTACATTTCAGATCAGTTGAAAGACAGTGCTGTAAAATTCAGAAGAGTATCAGATAAAATGTTCAAATGCTGTACCTTAAATTTTAAATAAATTTTCTTATGAAGAACAAGTATAATAAATGAGCAAGTTTCAGGTTGGAGCAAGGGATTATACCAAGGAGAAGAATATTTCCATTTGTTTCAATACTCCAACTTGGTGGCATGCATCTGGTAGCTGAGATTAAATACCACTCTTCTGAGTTGGATACCCGACCCTTGCCTTGTCCCATGGCTATCTTACAGGTGCTCATCCTTCAGGACACATAACAGGTATCATTGCTTCCACAAGGCTTTTCCTAACTACCTAAATATCCTGCATACAGCATCCTGCAAATAGCACTACCTGCTTCTAGCATCCTGCATGTAGCATCTTGTATTCAGCACACCATAGCACTTGTCATGCTGTTCATTTTCTACTGCACCTGGGTTTTATCTCAATATAGCTTGGACTCATCACAGGGCTGGACACATTAGGAGCTCAATAATGGGTCACTGAATTAAGTCATTACTGCAGAGCAACAGAAAAAAAGAAAACTTATTTTTTTCCTTAAAGGTCAAAGGTAGGTACAGCTTAATTGTCATGAACCTTTTAAATCCATCATTTTTAGCTTTCACAATACAAATCATTTCAAGAACCTTTGTTCATTAATTTGCAAGAGATCCCTTCCCAGGTTTTTCAAAATACATCCACACAGATGTCTCGGAAGTCTCAGTGCTTGGTGGTTATGTTATTCCAGTTCTCCCTGCATGTCTATTTATACGAGCTCTCCAAAGCACTTTGAAAAAGGCACAACTTGCATTGCAAGTTTTCCTATCCAAGGGCCAGTCTGTGTAAAACATAAATAAAATAATCAGCCTGACAAAACTTAGTCGGCTGAAATCCCAAGTTCGAAAGCTACACAGTGCCCCAATCAATAAATAGGCCACAGCTTTTCACTGTTGGGAAATAGAATTTAAAATCGGCAGAAATTGGCTGTGGGTCTCATAACCCCAGTGTGACACAATATTCTCATCCTAGGAGCCAAGTTGTAAGCTTTTCTAAGATCCATAAAGCACATGTCTACTCCCTATGAGGAGCTTTGGTTCTTTCTGAGAGTCTGCTGAAGTTCCGATCTGAAAGAATGCCATCTTCACAGAAACCCCAGTACTCTAGAATGATAC